AAGCTGTGTAGAAAGTTTCATCGCAATCTGACTCTGCTGTCAAAAGTTATCATGTAAACAGCCAACCGGACGGACGGACACACTGACTATTCTATAGTGTACTCACTTTTTGAGTACACAAAACTATGATTCAGTTCAAAACTAATATCAGATTCAGAATCAGCGTTAAAAACTGAGTCGATTTACGTATTTTGTGAATAAGTATGAGCAAAAACTTTTTTTTCGAAAAATCCCCGTCCCCCCCCCCCCCCTCAGGGATGGTCTGGTCAAAAATCACAATTTTTTCGATAACTCAGCCATTTCTTGGCGGATCCTTTTCATCTTCGAACTCGACCGAGATATTGTCAAGACTAAGCTGTGTACAAAATTTCATCGCAATCTGACTCTCCTTTCGAAAGTTATCGTGTTAACGGCCGGACGGACACACAGACCGATTTTAGTAGTGTACTCACTTTTTGAGTACACTAAAAATAGTTCATCCAACAGCCCAAATACGATTTCACTCTATTTTACTCATAAGAGGGTGTGGGTGTGGGTGTGGGTGTGGGAATCATTATAGGTCTTGTCTTCACCCACATTCACACCCTGTGATAGACATGCACTTAACATAAGACAAGTTAACCCCCATTTAGCCATACATAGTGATTTTCTTTGTGTAATATTTGTCATTGATAATAAAGTCCATTCATTAACTTTAGCTGAATAACGTGCATTAATTAAAGCACGAAAAAAAAACTAATATGTGCAAGTAATAATGATAAAGGACGTAATAAAAGTAAAGCCTCATATGGTAATGTTGATGATTGTTTAGTACGTTCATATAATTCTTCAACAAGTTCAATAAGAATATTATCTGATGATGATATTATTGATGAACTATCAATTATTGTTTGTTCTTTATTAACATGTTCATTATTTAATGGATTTTGTATTTTTATTTGGTCGTTGTAATAATCTATAAATACGTGAAAGTATTAACACCATATATCATTTTTGGGATATTGACCAACTATTAAAAGTTTTTCAAGACTAATTGATATAAATTTTTGTGCTAAATTATCATCATTAATTAATGATAATAAAATATCATATGAATTTAAATCAACTTCATGAATAAACATGATGCATATGCATGAGTTTTAGTTATTAATTTATAATTACGTTCAATTAAATGTATATATAATTCATTATATTCTTTTGTTCTTTGTTCAAGTAATATACTAGATTTACATAAATTATAACTTATTAAGGATATTATTAAATCATCTTCATCAAACCATGTACAAAAATATTCGACATATAAATGATAAATGTTGTGATGATGTAAATAAATCAGATAGATATATAAATGAACCTATTAATTCATATTACATATATTTCAATTAGAACTTGTAATGATGATGTTAAATCAAAACCATGATGAAAAAATAAGCGATCAAATAAACTCTAAATTATATATTTTTAAAGGTAGATGCCAGCAAAGAAAATGTTCATACTCTAATTTTTTGATTGATAGAATTTATTTGAAATTATTGATATAAGCTTTTATTTCTATGAAATAAGATAATTTGCATGTATTATATATCAAATCAAAGTCAGAGAAACACTAGATTTTCTGTTTGATGAAATTAATAATTTAGCAATAAATTTATCTTTCTCTTAACTTAGAGTTCTGTATACATTTATGTTGAACGTTCAATATTAACAAAACTAAAAGTTCTATTTGTCGATTATTAAAACATATGTGAGACTTACATTAACTGATAATGGTAATGTATTATTACTTTGGATTGATGTTAATATAGTATCTTATGAAAGTTGTCCATAGGATAATAAATCACGTGTACCTAACCGTTCAATATTAAATTATTTGAACTTGTATCTAATGTTCGACGTGTTTGCATATATTGACCACCGATAAAAAAAGAACAGATAAAATCTAGTTTATTTTTCAATCTTGTTACCATTGTGTTGCATTTGTTTCTAAAGTTTCTTCTTTTTTTTAAAAATTATTTGTTGTTTGTTTATTTTCATCATTAGATTGATTTGTGGTGAATTAATTGAAGCTAAAAATGAAGCCTATATTTCTTGAAATTGTATTCTTAATAATCAACCAACTCGAAAATTGTCTTTATATAAATATTGGTAAACAAAATAATAATATAACTATACAATATAAATCATGTCAATAAATATATGATATATATATATATATTTAATTTTTTTTTGTTAAATAATAAAGATGATCAAGATCATTAAATAATAAAAGTAATAATTGAATACAAGATCTTTTATCTGGTTCAATTAAATTTAAATATGATTATAATATATTTGATATAGTTAAACCATGTCGTTGATAAAGATATTCAAATATTGATGGTAGTGTTTTCGATAATGTACAACATGATATTATCTGATCTGTTTCACAACTAAGAAATCATGTTTTTTTTTTTTGAAATATATTTATATAAATTATTTCTGATATAAATATTATAAAACGTAATAAATCATGTATATCACCTGTTGAAAATTGACATGTTAGTTCAACATAATTTTGTATTGTATCAAAGTATATTGATAGAGAATCTATGAATGCAATTGAATATGGTTCATTATTAGAAGCATGATAAAAGACTTTTTTCATAAATTGTATTAGGTGTTGTTTCAATGTCATTTTAATTTGTTTCATTTGATATAACTATACAAAATCCTAGGAAAACAAACAAAGAACAGATTTATATTGTTTCTTATTTTCTCAAATCAATTTTCATTTACTATAAGAATCATCCTAAAAATTTAATGCTGTGGAAAAAATCCAATACGTTTTCGGAGTTCACGAGTTCAAACTTATAGAAAGTTTATTGAAATTCTCGAATGCAATTTATTTCGAAATATAATATTAGAAAGACGTCGTTTTCTTTAATTGTAATAGTACAAATAGCACGACTGAGAATTTGATCAATAAGATTCGAGAGGAATTATTCGGTCATTGTACTAATGTAGCTTAAATGCTTTCCCTTACGATTTGTATTACCTGAAATTCTGCATATTTTCTATTTCAAAATATTTTTCGAAATTTTGAATTATTCAAAAGTCTCATCTATTACTAGCACATTAACAATGCCAAAGTAAAAACAAAAACATTTCTTTTAATTGGATTAAAATTTTTATTATGCATATATATATTTTTATTTCGATAAATTAAACTAAAATATACCGGTGATATCATAAATGGTAATCATTTTTTATAAGTTATATTTTTAAGCATTTGTGCATAAATTTTTCTTGTTATATCCATAGGATAATTAAGATTATTAAAATCTTCTTTAATAATATCGATTGATATTGTTATTGATAATATTTATAAAATTTATGGTATATATTTAGGTCATAATTGTTTATTTAATGGTAATGGAAGGAATTGTTCAACTAATAAAACTAATATAAGACCACTTTCATCTAAATGTATTCCTTCACAAAAAAAATTAATGACTTGCAACTGATGTATGATGTATAAGATCAAATAAAAAATAATAATAATAATTGATAATGTGTTGTTATTGATATAAAATGTTCAACATATAACTCATGATGATATATTAAATCACAATAAGATTGTAATTGACTACTTATAGATAAATGTGTTATTAATGATAATGGTGTTAATATTGGTGACCACCATGCTTCTTGTATATAATCAAGTATATTCAGAATATGTGTCCATTGTAATAATAATGAG